ATGAGGTACTGTCATGTAACTGACATGCACCTAACATGTAACTGACATGTACCTAACATGTAACTGACATGTAACTGACATGTACCTAACATGTAACTGACATGGAACTGACATGGAACTGACATGTAACTGACATGTGACTGACATGCACCTAACATGTAACTGACATGTACCTAACATGTACCTAACGTGTACCTAGCATGTAATTGACATGTAACTGACACGTAACTGACATGTAACTGACATGCACCTAACATGAAACTGACATGTACCTAACATGTACCTAACGTGTACCTAGCATGTAACTGGCATGTAACTGACATATAACTGACATGTACCTAACATGTACCTGACATGTAACTGACATGTACCTGTCATGTAACTGACATGTAACTGACATGTACCTAACATGTAACTGACATGTATCTAACATGTAACTGACATGTAACTGACATGTAACTGACATGTACCTGACATGTAACTGACATGTAACTGACATGTACCTAACATGTAACTGACATGTATCTAACATGTAACTGACATGTAACTGACATGTACCTAACATGTACCTGACATGTACCTGACATGTAACTTACATGTACCTGACATGTACCTGACATGTAACTGACATGTAACTGACATGTAACTGACATGTACCTAACATGTACCTAACATGTACCTAACATGTAACTGACATGTAACTGACATGTACCTAACTTATACCTAACATGTACCTAACATGTAACTGACATGTAACTGACATGTACCTGACATGTACCTGACATGTACCTGACATGTAACTGACATGTACCTAACATGTACCTAACATGTACCTAACATGTAACTGACATGTAACTGACATGTACCTAACATATACCTAACATGTAACTGACATGTACCTAACATGTAACTGACATGTAACTGACATGTTACTGACGTGTAACTGACATGTACCTAACATGTACCTAACATGTAACTGACATGTAACTGACATGTACCTAACATGTACCTGACATGTAACTGACATGTAACTGACATTTCAACAGGAGTTGAGGGAGCGGGTGCTGAGAGGGAAGTACCGTGTGCCCTTTTACATGTCAACTGACTGTGAGGGGATCCTCCGTCGCTTCCTGGTGCTCAATCCCACCAAACGCTGCACCCTTGAGGTGAACACACACACACACACACACACACACACACACACACACACACACACACACACACACACACACA